AACATATAAAATAGTTTTTTCTTATGAAACATCTGATAACTATCTGGACATTATAAAGACTTTGCATGAGAAATTTGAAAACTTGCTGATGCACAAAAGTATTTTTAATCTTAAAATTAAGATTACTTTGATGTTGGACAGGCAACGAGTGAAAAGAAAAAAAAAGCATAAGAAAAACTGCTTAAAAAACCTTATGACTTAATAAAAAACTGATACTTTCCATATGAAAGCATTGTAATGTTTACTGATAATATGCCATATTTCATTAACACATGCTTACTAATTAGAAAGTTATAGCATGAAAACTATAACAAGCACAAAATGGTTATGAGGTCGGTCCCAGGGAATAAGCCTGCGCTGAAAGTTAATTATTAACCGCATAATTGAACTTGCAGTGTAAATCTATTAATTTGTAACTGTGGTGTGTGAATTGTTATGTTATTTTCGTTATTTAAAATTCACTGAAACCCCCTACAACTAGTTAACACCACCCACTGCCACCTCTTTTACCAACAAATAGTGGAATTGACTGTCAAATTAAAACGTCCTCACAGCTGAAAGGATGAGCAATGTTCGGTGATGGGGATTCAAACACATGACTTAGAGAATACGAGTTGTGCACCCTTACCACCAGGCCTTGGATACACTTACCAGCTAAAATATAAAAAAAAACAGATATAATAAACTGAACATAAAATACATTATTCCACTTGTTAGTTCATTAAACTGCCAATGTTTCAAAAAATGAGTGGAGACTCTGCAATTAGTCAAAAATTCAGTTCTGGATCTTTTATAAATTTTGTCATATGAGTTATGACTGATCCAAAACTTGAAATCTAAATCTGCCATACTGGCTGAGGTATTTCAACTCTTACCAGAAAGTGTGATAATACTAATATTGCTCACAATTTGAAAATGGCTTGTAACCACTCTTATGGTACAAAAGCCTTATGCTGGTGAAGCGTAACCTATACTGGTTATCTGTGTGATATCTCAATAAATTATTACCAATCTTAGTCTTACTGTGGTGTATTGTCAAAAAAAAAAAGTATACATTACTATACATTGCTTGTTAGGCTTAAGAGTACAGTAAGTTAAAGATTATATAAAAAATGAAAGGAAGTACTTTGGTATCTGTAAAATATTACCACACTATCGAAGACGTTATCGTTAATATAATAAAATACGGAATTCTTACCCTTGGGAGATCTTTAATATGATTGGCATCCAAAAGCAACTCTTCAAGAGTTCGAGCATAGCGCAAAACATCATCGGGAACATTTGATAAGCTACAGTGCCTCTTATCGATGTATTCAACCTGACGGTTGCAACTACGAAATAATGGAATACATCGAAGCATGACTCTAATGAGTTGAACAAGTATGGTTTACATAAAAATCATATTATCCCCACGATATTTCAAAACTGTCAGCACATTGTGAAAATTGATATAAATCGAGGTTTACACCCTCCGAAAAGTTCGAACGCGAAAGCTATGACTCTGACGTCATCATTTCCTTCCCCTTACAAAAAAAAATTGATGATACTTCCATCTGGAGGCAAGTGCATTCAAAGCATGTAAAATCTATATTTTTATAATAAACTCCGTAGAATATTTTAAACCTTAAAATGTTACTTACACTAAATATTATTTACATTTAATGTTGTCTGTTTTTATATTATGCATTATGTATTATATTATTACTTACAGCAGTTAATATTGTGTTTTATGACACAATGTAAACAATATCGAAAGTTTTCATTGTTAACAAAATGTACTTGAAAAACATAAAAGGAAAACAAAAACACTTCGAGTAGTATACAGCGCCGATTAATTAAGAGACCGTGAGATATTACAATTGTTATTTTAAAGAAAATATTAAGAACGAAATTCTAAGAACGTATTAAAGATCATTATATCTGTGGTATTCAAACACTGAGTGTATTCAATATTATCATATTAATATAGTATTGTTGCGTCAGCGAGGTCACGTGACTAGTGTCACGCCACGTTTCTAGAACTATCTTGTTCCTTCGTGAATGTCCTAGCATTTACTAGATATAGGGTAGTCTGGTATATATAAGAGGGTGACAACGTGACAATAATGTGTGTAGGTAGTGAGTAATTGAACTGCAGTCAGGAAGTATTGTTGAAGTTAAGGTTCGTTGTTAAAACGTTTGTAAAAGAGCGACTGTTGAAAATAAGTGTATCGGTAAAGTTATATTCAGAAAGAATAAACCAGTTTTATTAAGTAAGTACTTGTGTCGCTAAAGTTTCGTCGGAACG